TGTAAGTTTTGATCTTCACAGCCCCCAGCCTGAATTAGCAAGAGGCTTTCTGTGCTAGAACACCTGGTTACAAAGCAGGTAGCTATTTAACCAGGCAAGGGACCCCACTCTTTGAATTTGACACCTCGCAGATTTTATTTTAAAGCCAGCATCTCTCTGCCTGCATCCAGGTTTCTTCACTGCTTTGCAAAAATTATTTCTTTGGCTCCTTTTTGCATTTGAAATAGTTTTCCAGAAGAGATGTCTTTATTTCCCAAGATCAAAGGAAGACTTTCTTCTGATATGTGCAGACTGATGAATGAGGGGATAAGTAAAGTACAAAGAAATCCTGCTACATTTAGAATGAAACAGGAGGTGCTGCTTTGGCACCAATGTGCAAATACCAAACACAGATTTCCTGAAGCAAAAAACAACCCATCAACATTCTCTGATCTGTATTCTGCAAGCATTTACCTTTTCTGGGTAACTGCTATGTGTTAAAGTATTTAATTTCTTTTTTTTTAATTTATTTTGGCAGAAATAGGCTTTGTTTAAAATGTGCTGTTTTCCCTTTAAGCCCATCTTCTGAGAGTGTATTTTTGAAAAATTTGTACAAAAGGTTTGTGCAAAAAAATAATCCAGTTTCATTTTCTCTGAAATCTGTCACACTGGCACTGATCTTGTTAAATCAGCCATCCCTAATCATAAGCATCTAGAACCTGCTCATCTCCTTTCCTTCACATAAAAAATTAAGGTAAGAAATGGGAGGGGAAAGGTGCAGATGATCTTACTTGTTTATGAAATTACTGAATTTATAATATCTTGGGTTGATATTATCTTATCTAGCATAAATATTAAATTAACTGTTTCTGCTATCCAGGACACCAGCTTGGAAGTGAGAGATCATAGAATCATGATTGTAATTTTAAATTCAACTTATGTACCTCTCAACAGATCACTAGTTTGTGTCTATGTGCTTTTTTTACCAAAAAATAACATGAAAATATGTTTTTGTATCTTTTAATCATGTAAGTACATTAAAACTGTAAAAGGCTATGATAGTAGGACCTTTAAAAGTAGGGTGATGTACAACATAAGTGGATTAGCAATAAACAATTACTTTGATGTTCTATCAGAAATATTTCTGCATATAGGAAAACTATTTCATGTATTTCTTATTATCAGAACACCTGTTAGTCTTTTTTGGCAGGATAACCATTCCTTCCGTTTTTTTCAGTGATATAATATCAGTCTCAGGAATCATACAGTAGTATTTAGTTTGAATGCAGGGAAGCCTGTTTCCTTCATACTGGACATGAGTTTACATGGCTATTTAGACGTGGAGGTAAAATCCTTGGTCTACAAGCTTTTACACTGGAAGAAAATTAGGGAGCAATCATGGGCCAGATTTACATCAGCTGCCTCAGAAAAAGTATTTATAAGTAATCTGAAAGTCTTCTGACACTACATAGCATTTTACTGGATAATTGAAATTTTTAGATAGTAATGATACATAGCACATTTAATCTTCAGGGAGCTCTGGAAGCAGAAACTGATGTCTCTTCCACAATGGAGATTTTTGAGCTCTCTCTTTACTGGCACTTCCTGCTTTTGGCCAGGGGCACGATCATCATTGTATGGCTTGTCAATTTGTTTATTTCTGTTGCCTGACCTTGCTTAAATACACCAATTTTTCCACTTTGATTATTATCCGTCTCAGCTAATGGGAGAGAGAGTGAAGTAGAGATTAACAATTATTAAGAAAAACTTAGAACATCTCATAAGATGCCAGTATTAGTTTTTCCACCTCTGTTCAAGCAAAAGACTTCTAGAGCGTAGCTTGGAAACCCTTTAGCCGTGTGTTCTTGGCTTTTTGCCTGTTTAACAGAGGTCTTGCACAACTTGTGTTTTATGTGCTGTCACCTTCATTTCTCTATATTTTAGCTGGTCTCCTGGTGCCACTGTTTGCCATTGGCCTGCCTTCAAAGCGAGTGCCTGTGGACAGTACTCATACGGTATGTAACGTACCGTATACTTTGACAACTCATGTGGTCTTAATGGGTTTCCCAGTTACAGAGGCTAAAAGAGCAAGGCAGCCTGTTCTGCAGGCTACCACACAGCAGTTCTTATGAATAAATCCTTTAGATAGGAGAAAATAAATCATTTCTACAATGTTTGTTTTTTATATGGTAGCTATAATGAAGTCTTTCTCTTCTGTGGCAAGGGAAAGTGCAAATAGGATATTCACACTGTCACCTAAATGAATAATGACTGGGAGACTAGTTAACTTCATTTATAAGGTTTTATGACATCTTCAGTGCTTGCAGATAGGTAAGAAGCTGAAGGCTGATATCTAGAAATCAGTGACTGTCTTTGATTAGCTGTTACTGAATACTTTCTTTAAACCTACACAGAAAGAAAGATGTGCTTCAGAAAGCAAGACTATTTGTATGCCTCACCTTACCAAACAGCAAGGAAATTACCTTGCTGCATGGACTGCTTCCTTTGATTTACTTACAGCTTTTGAAGTGGAATCCCATGACCTTCTCTGTATTCTCTCGTTTTACTTGATTTCATTTCCTTAATCAGTTTTCCTTAATCACCACTACACCTGCTTCTCCTCATCCTGGATCCATTCTCCTTCCTGTTGTCTTCTTTTACGCAGTGTGAGGTAGTAGCATAATAAAGATATTGTTACATAATAAAAATGATAATGTATCTATACTGATAAACTGCAGCTTAACTGTCTGAAACTCTTGAAATTACTCAGTTTTTTAAAACATCTCTTGGAGCCACATTTCATGTCATACCATATTTGCCTGCATTGCCTTTTATATTATCATTCCCAGTCCTATATTCTTCATTAATTTTTCAAGTTTATAGGCTTCTGTGTTATACTGATTCCTTGACTGAAAAAGTAGGGGGTTTGATCTTTCTTTTCAGAAAATGCTGTAAATAGATTATGATGGTAACACCACTTAGCATCTAAACTGTTTGTGGAAGCAATGGAAAGTATTTTTAATTCACTTGAAATGATTGGTCCATTTTCTGCATAAAACCTGAATAAATTCTGAAACAGACTGGCTGATTAGTAGGGCTGGGATAACTTGCTTATTGAATATTTTAAACTTACTAATTTAAACATAGCAGACCTAACACTCCTTGATAAACTAATGTAGTTGCCAATAATTCTGGTTTTATTATAAATGATCAGTTTTGTACTCAGTCCCAGAGTTTTGCAGTTCCTACCAAAAATTTTCTTTACTTATAAGGTTTGTATTTCTGCCTGCTGTTCCCATCTCCTTTAAATGTAGGGGGATGTGTGGGCAATGAGATAATGAAGTCACCCTGTCAAATTTCCTGATTTTGTTATTTTGTTTCTGATAGGAATGAGAAGAGGTTTTATGTTTTTGTGGTGTGGTTTTTTTTGTTGTTGTTGTTTTTTTTTTTTAATAACAATGCTACAAATGAGATACTTTTCCTACAGGAATCATTTCCACCATTTTTGGTGATGAAAAATTTCTTTTCTCTTCTAACCTATTCCTACAGTTTGGAAGAGGAGTTTAAGTTTCTTTATTTTGGGGACAGACTTTCCTCCACTCTGAAAATTTGTGTCCATTAAGCCCTTTTTAAGGGTGTTTTCCATAATTACTTTTTTTCAGTAGTTAATGTTTCCATGTGCTCATATACATTTATAAATTGTGCTGCAGTTCTAAACTATTTTTATTGTGTAGATGCATTCTAAAACAGGATTATTGTATTATTTTAAAATGTAATTGTCAAGAAGAAACATACAATGTTAATCAACAATGTGAATTATTCTCCATAAGTAGCCTCTGTTATAGCATCTTTTCTATTATCTCCAAAGGCAAAGGTTTGATGATCTCAGAGGTCTTTTTCAACCTAAATGATTCTGTGATTCTTAGAAATTAATGATATTTTTTCTCCAAGAGATGACTTGCAGGTTTCAAATTTGAAGCCTTGCCCATTTAAGATGTTCCAAAAATGGGAACTATTTGTTGATCATTCTGAAGCCTGTTTGCCAAAATTGATCAGGTGACATAATTGCTTGTTAGATTATTCAGTTAAGAAATATGAAGAAGGTCCCATTTGAAGGAAAACTTTAGCTTGGGAAGTTGTGTGGAACTCAGGTTCACACAGAGTGCCTTGCTGTCTTTAAAGTGGTTTCAGCTTGAGTAGAGTACTTTACTACCTTCCATTGTACAGGCTGAGCTTTCTGTAAAAATGTAAACAATTGCCAAACTTAAAAAAAAAATCACTACATTAAAAGGCTATAATAAAAGAGCTGTGAAAGCCTATTCTAATTAAGTGGTGACTTGGTGAAGCATACTAAATAAATAGGGTAAGTGTTGACAGCATATTTTTAGCTAATATTATCCACAAATTGATCAATACGACTTTGAGAAGTAACTCACAAGGCACCAACTTGGGAGTAAATTTTCCTTCAATTAAATTTACTAAATTCAACTGAATAATAAGAAGTAGTGGTGTGGCATAATGATATTTAGCTGCTGTGGGCTTAACTTTGCCTTTTCAAAGTCGATGCACTTTAAACAAGTGGAGGTATTAAGCTCACAACAGTCTGACACATATCTTACTCAGCAGGTCATCTGATTCTACCACTGAGTTCAGATGTAACCATAAGATTTGGTCTGCAGTAAGAGCTGCAAAAGAGAAGTTTTTTTTTAAAGTGATCTTAAATACAATCCTTTGAAATAAACTTTCATGTTGAGCTTGTAAATAGTATAGAATTACAGACTAAATGTTCAGAATTTGTGAGCTAGTGGACAGTAGAAATTCACTGTTCAGTTGAAGAGATAGGGAATATAAAATTTTATAGAAGGGAAAAGACTTCTTTCCATTCATGCTTAGGTGGAGAAAATTTGCAGCACTGGTTCACATGTATCTTTTAAATCAGAAGACATTTTGTTCAATCTTCTTTGAAACAAGTTTATTTAGACTGAGATAACATTTGCAAAGCACCCCAGAAACAGGAAGATGTGAGTTTCTGTTTCTAATCTCAGTGGACACATGATATGTGGCCTTAATGTAGTAAGCACCATTCAAAAGAGAATTGATTTCTTCCATCCATCCAGAATATCTTCTTAAGTTGTAAAAATCTGAAACACATATACTTAAGGATTTTTAAAAAATCAATGGTATCAAAGTTCAATAGTTAGATATAAAGCATACGCAAAAATAATTAATAACTATATCCTTGTGAAGAGAATTAAAGGTTTGTGGGGTTTTGGTAACAATTACTGGAGGAAATCTTGTATATAATGCAAAGCTGAGGTAATCTTAAAACCCTTTTTAATGCATAAACTTGTATGAGCTTTTACAGTTAAATGATTAAGTAAGGAAAAAAACAAACCAAGGGAAGTCTCTGACTGATGGCAGTGTTTATATTGCTAGAAGATGATATTTTGAATTCTAGAGAATGCTCTGTCCATACTTACCTTAATCCTCAGAAATAAATCACTCCTAACAGATAGTAAATGAAATGAGGGTCTGGGGGAAATGGATTCAGCCCCTTGTTTTTGTAAGATAAGACAGCAACTGCAGCACAGATTTAGATCAAACCATGGGAGGAGGGGAATGAAAGTTAGAGAATCATACTGATATCTTCAAAAGATGGCTTGAGATGTCTATATTTTGTTATCAGTGATCATGAATGATCTTGGCCTACTGAAGAAATGGGAAGTCAGCCTGTGGTGGGGACTGGGAGAAACCTTCCCCTGGCTGTCCTTAAGAGAGTGATGGCACAGCTTTGTAAATTTAACATCAGGGAGGACTAAACAAAAGGAAATTGCCAAATTTATATTGATTTAAAAAAAATTGGGTTGATTTATCCCAGTCAGGAAGGACTGACAAGGACATATTCTTTGCTTAATTTTCTGGTTTTTTTTTTGTTTGTTTTTTTTTTCCATGTCAGTGACATGGTCTGAATCATTGTTGAATTTTAAAAATTAACACATGCTTTACATTTGTGATTCTGCACAAATCTTATGAAATGCCAAAAGGCTTCAACCTTTCAGATGGGTGGTACAGTTTTAGGAATTTACTGGATCAAACAATTTTTCTTTTCATTTTGCTTTGTATTATGTTTGAAGATATTATTTCTTCCAATTTTACAAATGCATAGTTAATAACGCCTCCTGTACCACATCTTTGGTAAAGTAAAAATTATTTTGCACAGTTGGAAAGGCTTTGTGACTAAGAAAATAGTATTTTCTAGACTACACACGGATACAATATTATTATCTCTGCAAACTTACTGTGGTATGAAAGAATTGTTTTGTTCCTTTAATTATTATTCTCTTAGACATAGGTTTCCCTGCACTAGTCTCACAGTGACTACAGTTAGCATGTGGTGGGCTACAATATCATTTACCAGCATTAACCTATGACCAGACTCTGTTAAAGATAATGAACACCAGTAGGGGCTCTATTTTATAGTGCACTTTCCCCAAACTTATACATAGAGAACTTCCTCCTGTATTTTTACTTTAACTATTGAAATGATAAAAACAAAACACAAAATGAACTAAAGAAATTTGTTGCAGCTCCATGTTGATTTTAGCTTGCCCTGTATTCATATGTGGAGAATTATTAGAAATGTTCTTTTTTCTTTGGCTGGTTATGAAGTCAAACATATTAAAGTCTTTCTCAATTGGCATTTTTTAAAATGTCTTTATCATTTGCAGTTGGTGTTGAAAAGGCCAAATTCTCCTTACCTTACTGTCAAAACCAGTGTTGTGTCTTTTTAGTAAGATTATACATGTGAACAAGAGAAGCAGGATCTTGTCCAAAGGGACCAACACTTCAGCAGATTGGAAACAGTCACAGCAATTTGCAGTTTTAAAGTAAGCACATTCACATGCCGTATCTCTTTTTACCTTATTCCCCCTTGTTATCCATTAATGTATTTTGTGATGTAACCGTATGCAGAGTAAAGGTCCTCTCTGTGCATTTTTGCATCTTGCCTGCATATTCTGATTTGCCAGAACAAAAATAAAACCAGAATTTGTATCTAGTATTTTCACAGGAGCTTATAAACCACATTTTGCAGCACTTCCTGATCAGTTGTAAGGATATTGTAGCTATGAAAAGGCTGCAGGATTTGGCCTATTAACTAATTCCACTGTAAATTACTACATATGTTTTATTTATTTGGAAAACAAAGCTTTTCTTGAAATGCATTTTAAGGTCACCTAATTATCAGACAAATACCAGTTTGCAGCCCTGAAAAACTCCCCTCTTCCTAATCAATTCATCTTGTTTTCACTGAGTCCCTCTGATTTTGCTTAGTGTTAGTTGGCTCAAATGCCAAAAAAAAAAAAAAAGAAAAGAAAAGAAAAAAAGACCTCCGTATGATAACCTTTTTCCTCTAAAAAATGAAACAACTAATAAAATAATACTATTTGGAGTCAGCTGAGAATACCTATCCATGCAGTATATGTTTCAAGCAGCTATCGAGCAGAACAGAGACCAAAAGCCAGCTGCATTTGGCTTCTGTGGAGTCTAAACGTGTTTTTTATTTGGAGCTGTAACACGTGATTTTTGTTTGTTTGTATGCTTTGCTTTTCATTTTACACAACTAACTTCTAGAAAGAAGTCTTGCAACTTCTTAGCTTCCCCTTAACGGCACAGATGGCTTTCCTCGCCGCACTGGATTGCTCTGCCTTCGCCTAAGGCACAGCAATCACCTTTGACACCAACAACAGTAGGTAAAGCAGCAGAAGTTACGACAAAATCCGACTCTTAGAGGGCCGTGTTTACCTGTTGCTTTTGCAGTTCATGCTGATGCTAGGTGTGCAGCTAAACCTTTTGGCTCAGCTCCTCATTTACTCGTTCCTCTGCTGACAAGGGCCGGGGTGGAAAGTGATGGGTTTCCATGGAGAGCTGCGTGGTGGGGGCAAAAGGAGTTTAGAATCAAATTACACAAAACTAGGCAAAAGCAGCCAGTGCCTGCTGCTCCCTGAATTTAGGCAAAGGCTCCGCTGAGCGCCTTGCTGGCGACCGGGACGGGGGATCCCTCCCTGCAGCCGGTGCGCGCCGCTGGCGGGCGGCAGGGCCGGGCGCTGTGTGCGCGCACGGGCCGCGCTCCTGCCCGCCCGCGCCCACGCACACGGACACACGCACGCACACGGACACGCACACACGGACAGACAGACAGACAGACAGAGACACGCACGCACACACACACACGCGCTCCCGGCCGCCGTGCGCTGCGCATCCCGCGCCGCCGGTGCTGCCTGCCCGCCCCGCCGGGACGCGCTACTCGCGCTCTCCCGCGGTTCTCCGCGGGCGCCCAGGTGGCTGCGCCCCACGGCATTCCCCGCTCGGCCCGGCACGACTCGGCACGGCCCTGCTGTCCTGCCAGCCGGCGTCCCGCGGGCGCAGAGCCGATGGCGCTGGGAGGAAGGATGCGCCTGAGCCGCGTCTGCTGCGTGTTCTACCAGCTGTGCGTGCTGTCAAGCGGGCTCGGCGCAGGTAAGTGCGCGCCTTTCGCGGGATGGGCCGAGCCCGCGGCGGCCTCCGCGCCCCGCCGGCCGCCGGTGGCGGTACCTGGCCATTGTTAACCGCGCCCGCCCCCCGTAAGCGATGGGTGATCGGATAATGCGCGCCTTGGCTGTGAGAATGCACTGCGCTGCGTTGCTCTCTACGAGACCTGATTTCCACAAGCAGCCCTGTCATCTCTCCTGGCTGTGCTGTTCCTAGAGTGTGCGATGAATGTGTAAATAAAACTATTTCCTGTCTCAGGCTAGTGGAGGTTGTGTGTACTCAGATCCCTGTAAACATAATGCTGGCATGACGGACTTTGGTTGTATTGTGATGTAAGAGTGTGTGGGATATGTGGACATCAGTAGTTAGTGATTCTAATTCAGTTTCATTATAAGAATGATCATGATACGGCATGTCCATGCAACTGCTGCTTGTATCTGCAGCCATGGTGCGTGTGTGCGTATATTTTGCCAGACTTTGGGAGGCATAATGGGTCTTGCCCAGCATGCTGAGAAGAAGGTTGAAATTTTTAAATTTGTTCAGATCTTCCCCAGCAATTTTTTTTAAAAGCTTTATGGAAAAGTAGTTGCCTTGTCTAAATGATGAAGGGTTTATGCAACTTTCCTTGCATGGAGGTGGTGATCATGGTACAAACACAGCTTCTGCCCAGCTTGGGGTCCAGCATTCTCTGTGTTCTGCAGAGCCTTGGTGTGTTCCAGATGCATCAACAGAACAGACACATCTAGCAGCTGGCCCCCCTGCTGTGTGTAAGGACAAGATGAAAGGGACAAATGAACCCCACTGTATTTTGTGTGGCATGCTTGTTGTCTAGGAGTCAGTAGGATCATCTTGTGGTGGGCAAAGGGGAGGGTTTTTTACAGGCACTGGACGCTGTTTGGTGCTCCACTCATTTGAAGTATCTGCCGCATTTCCCACAGGTCTCCATGCTTCAGAAGAGACTGAGGAGTGGGAGATTGTCTTCCCTGCACTGTGGAGCCCGGGCCAGCAGGAGCCAGCGGGTGGCAGTGGTGGTGGTGGTGGGGGTTGCAATGTTGACCCCAGTAGTGGGAACCGAAGCAGCACTTTCAGTGCCCCAGTCACACCTAGCCCAGTGGCTGGCAGCTCCCGAGAGGTGCGTTCAGTCTCCTCCTCGGTGGATGGGCAGGCACAGGCTGTAGGGGAGGCAGCAGAGGAAGAGGACACTGAGGATGAGTATGAGTCTCAGGAGTTTTACCACTGGTCCCCCCTGCCCCAGGGGTCTGGTGCTGCCTCTCAGTTGCCAACACCACCATCCCCACCGCCACCACCTCGAGCAGAGGATGGAGATGAAGTGCTGCTGAGGATCCCAGCTTTTGCTCGGGAACTCTACCTGCTGCTCAAGAGGGACAGCCGCTTCCTGGCTCCTGGCTTTGCTGTGGAAGAGCGGCTTGGGGGTGAGGGCAAAAGTTCACCCAGTGCCACACAGTCACAGCCTGAGAGAGCTTGTTACTACAGCGGTGCTGTCCTCCGCTACCCGGGCTCCTTCGCCTCCTTCAGTACCTGTGGTGGACTGGTAAGATGACCTTGCATGCACCTGGCCTAGCACCCATGTCTCCTTCGAAGTCCCTGCTTCGTCTATTGCTTTTCATTCCCATTCCTTTCCTAAGGTCTTACTTCTTTCTTGGTAGCATCTTGGGTCCTACCTCTGTACCTAACCTCATTTTTTAACAATTTGCCTACTCATACTCTTCTCCTAACACTTCTCAAATCCTGATTCTGCCTTTAGCCTATACAATGGTGATACAATTTAGCCTGTTTCCAGATACATACCTATCTGGTTGTGGATTTCCAGTTCTTACACCATCCTTTCTTAAACTTTTCCCATCTCTGTCTGTAATTTTATCTTGCCTTTAATGAGTTTTGTAATTAGATACTTTCATGCTCTCTTTATTTTTTCTGTCTCATCATCTCTCCTGCAGTCCATCTGTAATCCATTTGTTCTTCATTTTCATCCTGTATTCTAAAGTTATTTCCCTCATTTGAATTATCTTCCTTATGCTGTTCAGTTTTCAATCTGTTCTGTCTTTTCCATTTCTAGCAGTATTTTACCAACGTCTCCTTTTTGTTATTCCTTTGCTTTCACCTCTTTGGCCTTTTTTCTGTACCTCACAGCTTCTCACGTGTGGTACCTGTAGTTACTTGAATTTGGAACATCTTTCCTTTTAACTCCTCCATAGAAGAATGCAATGAGCGTGTTCTCAGCAGAAACCTTAATGCCTTTTCAATTGTTATTACTTCTGTGGCATACTTCTCTTATTTAAAACAAGCTCCCGCTGCTATTATTTCTGTTGCATCAGTCGTGATTTTTGATAGAAAAAGAGCAGAATTGGGTACACTGACAAGAGCAGCAATGATCCAAAGAGCTGCAATCCTAAGGTACTTGCAGGTGGGTGGAAAGTATAGAAAGAAAAAAAAGTTTACCTGCGATGATATAGAATGCTGGCAGGATCTTAAAAAAACCCAATTATTGCTACTGTTATTCTCATTTGGGGCCTTTATGTAGCATAACAAATGCACATTGTTGCAGCACTTAACAGAATTTAGACTAGAAAGAGTAATGGTGCTCTGGAGACGGTTAATATCCTCTATAATCCTGGGATTTGGGTGTAAATCACCATAACTGCACGATAGATTTTTTTCTTGTATTTCCTTCTGAATTTGAACATCTAACTCCACTGCTGATTCATGAAGATACAGCTTTTTATTTGTATGGCCATGAAGTGAAAACAGGTAAAATGTGGAAAATTTGACTTCTTATTCATTTGCCTGTTTGAATTTATTCAAAAATCAACACAAACTGAGAATGGTGGATTGACACCAAATAAAATATTTGCCTGCACTCCTGCAAAGTGAAACCACCAAGTTTCACACGACTCTAAGTGGCTGGCATTTAATTATTGATATTTTGTCAGATTTTCCGAAGCAAGGTAGTAGAATTAATTGTGGAGAAAAATATTGAAAGTCAGATGGTGGTTTAAAAACAATTGGGTAAAAGAGATTTGTGTTCATGAAAAGCATTTGACTTTTATGCTCCTTCTTATTTTGAGACTTTTACTTCCCTCTACATTGTGTTTGGGTAAAATTAAGTTGGAAAATCTTTGTAAAGAAATTAGTGGAAATAATTATCACCTTTTTATTATGTCTACTCAAAAGCCATGTACATCATTGCATGTCTGTAACACCTCTGATTTATTATATAAATTGATTCACTTTTTGGATAGATCCCAGTTTCTAGAGAGCCCCATTAGTAATTTTTGATTCTGTTAGACTCTACTAGGAACCAGATTACTCCAAAGCCTTTGGCCATCTAAGTGTGCATGTACCTAGATAATGTTTTCCATCTAGAAAACTGCAGCTGAAACATAAAGTATTGTGTGTATCTCAAATAAAATTGTCAACTGTTGTTGACTGGTGTTGTCATGATTCTCAACTGCACTGTCCTATTTGTGGTGAAATAGTTAAGCAGCTGTTCTTCCTGAGAGTGTTGCTGTGTCAGGCATAGTTAAAAAAAATTGCACAGTGCTATTATGTCAAAGTTGTCATAACAAATCCTAAGCTATTTGTCATTCTTTATTCAGTCATTGCTTGGGCTCTATTACATATGTAAGTTGCTGAGTTTCCAAGAGTATTGAAAAAACATCCTAACATGTGTTGGATATTCCACCATGTTTCATCTAGGCCTAGCAAATAGAGTCAAGCCATATTTCAAACTACATTTTTTTTAACATGTAAAATAACAATAGAAACTTGTCCCCAGAAATATTTTATTGTAGTTACTGGAATTAGAGTTTATATTTTCATTTTAAATATAAAGACATTTCAGAGAAAATACGAATGTCTTACATATGCTCTCGTTTCAAAGCCTCGCACACCTTGTGTTAGGTTTAGTAAGCTGCACACACTCTGGAAAGTCAAATGTGGGCTAATATGCTGCTTAGATTACACTATTCTGCTCTTCAGAAATAGCCTTTTACTGAGTCTTTTTACTGACCAAAGAAATCAGCTGTAGTCTGACAGACAACAGTGATTATGCCATGCAGGAGAAAGGGTGAAGGAGTGTAGTGGTTTGGCCATCATATCCAGGGAAAGGTCATACCTGGTAGTACAGATGTATGGCTGTTCCTGTAGGACTAGTTTTGTCAAAAGATTGTGCATCTTCAATAAATTTAAGAGAGGCCTTAGGTGAAATTGTTGTACCATCCACATAGGATGCTGGTATCACTTCCAGTTTCTCAAGGCACAGAGACCTCACATGCCAGTGATATTCAGGAAATAGGGGGAAAAAGGCCTGTGTAGTAATCCACTTATGTACACAGAAAGAAGAATATTGTTGCAGATGTTAAGGACCTTACCCTCTGAAGCTGAAATTTAGATGCTTTTTGAATATTTCACTGGTTGCATTTGTGTAAAGCATCTAACATACAGGACAACATTAAAGCTTCTCTATATTATTTCACAGTTCTTGAGAGCTTCAGTAGTGGGTTTTTTTTCTTAATCTGCTCATCAAGAGCCAGTATGGAGGGGTAATAATAATGTAGCTCCTTATGCATCATGAAAGTCATGCCAAAATACAAGTGAAAAATGAAAGCTGTAGTCCTAGATAATTACTAACCAAATTCTGACTGCAAGCATTCAGAAGTGTCTTCATTCAGCCACTTAATATTGACAAACAAAACATAACTCAGTGGTTATTTTCTAATGCATCTAAAGATTGGAGATAGTAATCTAGAAACTATCTACTCATCTAGATCCTATCTAGAAACTTCATCATGGTGACCTTGATGCGATCTCAGAGCTCACATGATCAATGGTGACAGTCCTCTCCAACTCCTTGGTAAAACACTTGAGGATGCTTACATCTCTTTGAAGCTCAGTGGGATTTACTCTGACTACATTTTGGGATTCTGCACTGGTGCTCTGGGAAGATGAATAAGGAGAGGTTTCTGAGGATTCTTCCATCTGCATGCTGACTGCTTGGTTCTTGTTCATGGCTGGCCAAATACCAAGATGTAAACAGTCCTGCTGATGCCACTGAGACTGTTCTTCTGAAAGCAATTACTTGAACAGCTGTACCATTAATTATTTAAGTGGTTGTTTCTTTTGTTTGCTTGTGTTCTAACATAATATTTGAAATAAGAAAAAAATTGTGTCAAAGGTTATTGGTATACATATATATATATATA